CGTGGCTGTTGACGTCTAAAGTATTTAAAATTAAATAACATTTAAAATTTGGTTCTGCAGTGGCACTAGCCACATATCACGTGCTTCCCAGCTGCGTGTGTCTGGAAGATAGTTCTGTGCTCCCCACTTGAGGCTGATAGGACTTCCACACCGGGGGGTGTGTGTGAGCTAGAGATAGAGAGAGAACGAGCTCTGCAACACGGCAGAAGACAAGCTACAACGGGCGTCGGTCTGCTTCTCGCCGTCTAAGGGTTTACTACACATTGTCGAGGTTTCTCCAGCTACCAGGTGGCTTGGTGTGCACCTGCGAGGAAGTACCTTCCTCTCTTCAGATCCCTAAGCTTTTAAACATGTATGATTCACTTAAGAATGACTGGAGTTCTCAATGATGTTTCTTATGCTACTTGCCCAAGAAAACACCCGTTGGGTCTGACAACCGCCGAGGCGCCACCAGCCCATCAGGAAGGTAACTACTTCTGGGTGACTCTTCAGCGCCCATCGACCCCACAGCCCTGTTGCCGTTGCAGGCAGGCTGGGGTTGGGGTGACTGCAGGAAGTGGCTTTCTTAGTAAGTTCACTTCCCGTTCCGTGAAACAGCCGAAACAGCCACGGTGACAGCGTCACTTTGCACAAGGAAGTGTGGGAGGACGTGTGGCTTCGGTAGGAAACGGCGCCTCTGTGTTTGGAGATCTGAAGGGCCCAGTCTCAGTCCCATGTGCCCTTCTCCCTGAGGCACGGACAGCCCCCCACCCCGGGGCTCGATGCACTGGTAGTCCCCCGTCCCGGGCTTGATGCACGGACAGCCCCCCGCCCCGGGCCCGCAGCACAGACAGCACCCTGCCCTGGGCTCACGGCACAGACAGCCCCCCGCCCCGGGCCCGCAGCACAGACAGCCCCCCGCCCTGGGCTCACACCACCGACAGCCCCCCGCCCTGGGCTCACGGCGCAGACAGCCCCCCGCCCCGGGCCCGCAGCACAGACAACACCCTGCCCTGGGCTCACAGCACAGACAGCACCCTGCCCCGGGCTCGCGGGTTGGAGTTCCCTGGAGAGCTCAGCAGCCGTCACGCGGCCTGCGGCTGGTGGGAGGCCTGCCCTTGGCACACTCCCCCACAGATGCGCGGGGAAGGGACACTGAAGACACGTCCCCCAGGAGAGCTCGCACAGGTCGGGCCCTCAGTGAACCTAATTTCCATGTAGGGAGGAGAGATGATTGTATGGAGCCATGTCAGCTGATGATGGTTTCAAATAGGATTACTTCCCATTCTTGAGGCTGGTATGGCCAGAACAGAGCTTTCTAAACGGGCGAGAAGACCTGGCAGCATCCCACAGCTGGGATGAGAAGTTGTAGGACAAAGGACTCCGTAGAGGACTGGCCTTGAGGAATTACCCCGTGGGGGGACAAGGGCAGCCCCCGTCACAGCTGGGGTGTCAGGACTTTCAAAGGAAATGGATGCTCCCATCAAAGTGAAAGACGGTCTACATGGTGCCGCGAAGAGTCGCGTCAGGGCCTCTGTGTCTATTTGTCTCGTTTCTCAGAGTGTCATTCGAATATTGTCTGGAGGGTCTCATCAAGCAAGTGGGTTTTAAGGATGACTAAAGACGTGGATGACTTTTTCGGGGATGTGGTTACCCCTGGAGAGGCAACGTGCTGGTGCGTATTGTTCACGTCTCGCTCCGAGAAACAGCCTAAATAACTTACCAGTGTAATCTGAAATACCAGACTAGTAAGTTACTCCCCACTGTAAAATTTAGATGTGCACCTACATTTTGCAAGCCCTCAGATTTTGTTTTTCACTGTGGTATATTTTTCCTTAAGCTGATTAAATAGAAACATCCAGAAACATGGCTCGCACCTGTGGGGAACTTTATGAGCCAGATACGAGTACCAGGAGAAGTCGAGAGAGGAGCTTTTCCCAGGCCACCTACAGATGAAAAGCAGGTTTTCAAGATTATTGTAGTTTGCTAGGTTTTAAACATTTTAAGGACATCATCGCTTGACATCACTCATTTTGGAAAATGTGCAAGTATGTCAAGACAAACCACTGGTGGTCTTTATTTTCCCCTTTCTGGCAGGAATGATTCTAACCGGAGACACCCTCTACTTTCAGAGGAGAAAAAAAAGATCATGAGATTTTAAGTTCATCCAAAATGAACTGATGTCAGTGTTTAAACAAAAAAAACAAACAAAGCTGAGGAATTCTGATGTTAAGAGATAGTTCAAGGGCACTGGAAATCCTACTTTCTTCAGTGAGGTAGGAAATTGGGGGGCAGGGAAATGCAGAGTCCCACGCTGAATGAAATCAAAACCCAGGGCAGCCTAAGTAACACATACAGTCTCTATCCCGAGTACCTGTTGCATATGGACCCTATGCTGAGGGCCCATCACGTGTGGACCATACATTGAGGGCCTGTTGCAAATGGACAGTTTCTCCAAAGGGAGAGTTGGTCGAACTCCTTTTATTCAAGCTGACAAAAGGTAATGAGTCTCCGTAGTAGCCAGGTGAGCCAAATGTCTTCTCTCCCTTTGCCGGTTTCCTTACCTGGCTCCCAAGGGCCATCCACCAGACACAGCCTCCCCAAAGGCAGGGAGTCTATTTTTAGCCTGTGGAACCAGTTTTCTTCCTGGAGCCTCTGTGGGTGGAGTCTGCTGAGAAGGCTGTGAGTCTCGGCCCAGACCCAGGGGCTGGGGCAGCAAGCGTGGGTGTCCTCTGGAGCCTCCAGGGCAGCTGGGCGTGTCCTTCCCGGTTCTGCCAAGTCACCATCGTAAACATGGACCGAGTGATAACGAGCTGATAAAATTAGTGAGCCAGCACTATCTGGACTCTTAAAAACACAGGGAACCAAAGGCAACATAGGGCTTTCTTCATTTCTGAAGCCTGGGAATGATCCACAGAAACGTTCCTGTGGCTCCTCCCGTGGCTGGGGTCTTTCTCCCTTATGCTCACCACCGGGTATTCTGCTCTGTGCTGGGGCCACAGGAACAGGGCTCTCGGCCGCCTTGCCACCTGGCCCTGCGTGCTGCTCCACCTGTTACTAGCATGCAAGGTTGGCACAGGGGCCTTCCCTCTACCCCTGCTGGAATGCCACTTCCTCCTGCATCCTGACGTGTCTTCTTCAGGAGGAGGGAGAAACAGAGAGGAGACCGTGAGGTGCTGAGTCACGGGGAGACACCTAACGTCATAAGGTCCTACTGGGAAGTGTCTCCTTCCCTGGCGCTGGACCGAGGGCCCGGCCAGAGCAGGAAGTCACGCTAACCCCATCGCGCGGCAGGTCCTCGGCAGGATGCGGGAGTGAGGGTGGGCAGGGAGAGCAGCTCCCGCAAGAGGCCGGGGTGGCGAGGGATGGAGGTGACGCTGCCCTGCACAGACCCTCCGATTAACAGGTCAACCGGCACCCTGACACAGACACAGCTCCGACTCTCCCTCGGGTCAAACAGGCTTCACCGAATCACCTGCAGAAGCATACAGAATGGTCCACGGTAGGGCGGGGACTCTCGTCATCTTATTCTATTCTGGTGCAAGTCTAAACACCGTGTAGCATCTCAGACGCTCACTCTGAAAGCTGTCAAAGGCTTGCTCTCCAGTTACAAAACAAAAAAATTTTTTTAAAGAGCTTTAACATGTAACAATCACCCGCAGGAACCAGTGTTCTTAAATTCCCAATTTTTTAAATCATCCAAATGTTAAAGCATTGGCTTTCAGAAAACAAGAGTGCAAGTACAGGCCTTCCTTCTGCTGAACAATCTTATTTTGGTAGAATTAAACAAATTAAGAGGATGTTTCAGTGACTCACAACGTCAAACGACAAAGAACCTCGAGCCACAAAGCAGATTTTAGAACCGGGGCCGCAAATCCGTCATCATGAGACTGTGCTCCCTCGGGGCTAAGAGGCGGCCGGTCCCGCAGCAGCTGCTCTCCACTCTCACCTCCACTGGACAGAGACTCCGCTCCAGGTGCAGACCCCGCCCGACTGACACACAGCTCAACACTGCTGCCCATTAGAATGGCGAGGGGATCGGTCGCATGGTTTGGGGTTTAAAAATGAACAATTCACCACCCATTCAAAATTGACTAGAATCACGTACGTATTTATAAAATCAGTCCCCCTTTCAGTAGGAAACGGAGAATTCCAAACCAATAATGACATTATACACAGGTAAGTCCCTTCTGGTTCATCCTGGGCCTGAAATGATTAGTTAAGACGCTAGATAACACTGTTCGTAACTAATGAAGGTAACACAGGAGCGAGAACAGAGTGTACTCACGCCTTTACAGGGACGGGACTTAAAGCAAATTATGGACAATGACCCCCCCCCCCCATGGCTGATACAGGAAAGGAGTCCAGGTGAGAGCAGAGAAGGACACCCTGCTGCTCAGGTCACTTATTCATCACAAACCCTACTACAGAACTGTAGAGAGGGTTTTGGGGCTGCCGCCCTATCCCATCCCTCAGCAGGTGGCACCAGAATGGTCCGTGAGCCTCCATGTGTCTTGACTGAAATATGCGTAAGGTTACATCGACGTGAAGTACCAAAGACATGGAGCAATTTCCCTTCCCTGTCCCCACAATCAGGGTGGATTCAATGTCCCGAACACAAGACCAGCCATGTTTTGTCATCCTCTGAAATGACCCCCGATACCTGTAAAATGAGGCGGACGCTGTGCGGGAAACACAAAGAAGATTACTTCTGACGACCTGGAAGGATTCGGACCGTTTTTACGTGCATTTTCCCCTTTTGCTTATGTGTACCTTCCAAGCACGGTACGGCGAGGGAGCGGACAGGGATCCGGGGGCAGGTGCCACCCGAAAGGCCAGCCCAGTAAGACTGTCGTGGGTTGGGGTCTGGGCTGAGGCGTGCGGGTCCTGGTCTGTGTGCTAAGGACCACACAGACGTTTCTAAGGCAGGGGTATAACACCCCAACAGTTTTAGTGGGAAGCCCTGCAGCCACAGTCCATCTCGGGAGGATTGTGTTCAATGACAAAACCTGCTCACTTACCTTGTTGCCCTTCTCCACGCTTGACTCCCGCTTTCCCGCGTGGTTTCCCATCCTGAACCGATGAGCTCGTCAGAAGCTACAAGAAAAACAGAAGGCATTGGCCTTAAAGCTAATACTCTCAGAGTGTTCTACCTTGTTTTCAGTCAGAGCAACAGTCCCGAGGTACCCCCTGCCCGTTTCTGAGACGAGAAAACTAAAACCCCCAGACGTGAGACACACCAGAAGCCTTATTAGTGCGTGCCTTTGTTGGCTTCTGATTAGAATCGGAACGCTTGGACGAGGGGCCCCTGCTGATCCCCACGCTCTGTTCAGGAGCAAAGACCCTTCAGCGTGTTTCCTCAGCCTCGACAAGGAACCCCGGTCCAGACCTTTCGTGGACGGTGTCCACTCCACGGCACACACACAGGGGGGTCCCACCTCCTCTCCAGGTGTGGTGAGCTGCGCTGAGAGGCAGACAGGGCGACACTCCTGAAAACGAACCACCGTTCGGGCTCCCTGTTTAGGGAATCACGGGGCAACAGAAACTGCAGGGTCAGACTGAGGTCTGCTTATCAGACAGTAAGTATCCCAAGAATCTGCAGAATTTGCAAGGAAGATAAAGTTGGATTAAAAAAGCATCTGTTCCTCATCTGGTTTTTCTAACATAAACTTTAGCAGTTTTGTGTCCCCCCAAAAGGCACAAAACTGGAGAATTTAGCCAAACTCATTCTATACCATTCGCTTATCCACCCTCATCCTTGGACGTGTGCTGAGCACCGGGACCAGTCGCTCCGTCACCTGCGCCTGGCACAGGTGCTGGGCTTTAGGGACAATTGTAAAGTGTCATTGTCCACGAGGAACTCTTTCTAAAGAACATGTGAAAACCAACTCCCTGTTGAACATGAAACAGTTTTCCTTGAAGGGTAAAAATGGGAAGGATTTCTAAAACATTACATATGCCTGCATAAAAGGCAAATCTGGCTCCCCGAGAGGAGAAAGGGAAACTGCTTAAGATCTGAATTCTTCCACAGTCTCTCCTAGTCCTGGGTGCCTCTGAGTGACCGTGAAGGGTGCCTTTGCCTCTCTCCATGAGGACCCCGGCCGTCGGCGGGGTGGGTGAGAAAGGGAACAATGACATTTTCAAGTGTCGCTCCCAGGCTGTGTGTGAGCATGCGAGCAGTTATTGGGTGGACAGCACCAACAGCCAACCACCTGTGGAGAGAACACCCTTCCCACCTTGTACGTTGTAAATGGAAATTGGGTCGGGCGATTGCATGTCCAGTGAGAGCCCAGGAAGAGAAAGATTAGGTGAAGTGGCAATAATGAGTTCCAGTAAATCAAAGACATAGCTCTAGCAGCGATAAAACATCACGAACTTTCTAGAAGAATCAGGTGAATTCCGCATGTTTCATGCATGAGAGCGAAAAAAAACCAGTGTTTAAAAATGTATGCTTTTAAAGATGCAAGTCTACCTTTGCAGATAATTTCAGCCTCCAATGTGATTCTATCATCTATCTACGAAATTATTTAAATTGGACCATCACAAAAACCCTAAAAGGAAAAATGGAGGTTTTGACACACATGGTACTTTACTTGATAGGCACAAAAAGGGAAAGAGAGAACTTGTTTTTGTCCTCTTGGGGTCTACACAGTAGTCACAGGATGTGAGTGGGTGTTCTCCCCAGGAGACATGGGTCTGAATGCAGATAGCAGCTGTTCTGCTGAAGTCTGGCCTCTCTTTGATTCCTTGTAGGGTTTTAACTAAATACTGGGAACTTGCAAGATGTATAGAATACACAGAATAACAATGTACTAAACATCTGTGGATCTCCCCCATCTTAGAAATAAGCATTGGTTATACAAAACTAAATGCATGCAATAACAAGTATTGTTAAATGTCTATACTATCCAGAGCAATCTACAGATTTAACGCAATCCCTATCAAAATATCAACAGCTTTTTTCACAGAACTACAACAAACGATCCAAAAATTTGGAACCACAAAAGACTCCGAATAGCCAAAGCTGTCCTAGAAAAACAAAACTGGAGGCATCATAATCCCAGATTTTGAGATATACCACTGTATAGTATAGTAGTATCTGTAGTAATCAAAACAGTATGTTACTGGCACAAAAACAGACACATAGATCAATGGAATGGAACAGAAAACCCAGAAATAAAACCATGATTATATGATCAATTAATTTTGACAATGGAAGCAAGAATATGTAATGGGAAAAAGACAGCCTCTTCAATAAATGGCTTTGGGAACATTGGACAGTTCCAGGCAAAAGAATGGACTTCCTTACACCATACACAAAAATAAAATGCATTAAAGACCTAAATCTGAGACCTGAACCATAAAAATCCTAGAAGAGAGCACAGGCAGAATGTCTCTGACATCAGGTGCAAGAACGTTTTTCTAGATATGTCTCCTGAGGCAAGGGAAATAAAAGCAAAAATAAACGATTAGAACTACATCAAAGTAAAAAGCTTCTGCACAGCAAAGGAAACAATCAAAAAAACTAAAAAGCAATCTATGGAATGGGTGAAGATATTTGCAAATGACATACCCAATAAAGGGTTAGTATCCAAAATATATAAAGAGCTGATACAACTTAACATAAAAACAAAACAAAACAAAAAATCTAATTAGAAAATGGGCAGAAGATATGAATAGACATTTTTCCAAGGAAGACATACAAATAAACGGCCAACAGACACATGAAAAGATGCTCAACATCACTCATCATCAGGGAAATACAAATCAAAACCACAATGAGAGATCACCTCAACCTGTCAGAATGGCCTAACTTAACAACTCAGGAAAGGACAGGTGTTGGCAAGGATGCAGAGAAAGGGGAACCGCTGTGCCCTGTTGGTGGGAACGCAAGCGGGTGCAGCCGCTCTGGAAACAGTAGGGATGTTCCTCAAAAATTAAAAATAGAACTACCCTATGACCCATTTGTATTACTAGGTATTAACCCCCAAAATGCAAAACCCTAATTGAAAGGGGCACATGCACCCTGATGTTTATAGTAGCATTACCTACAATAACCAAATTATGGAAGCTGCCCAGGTGTCCATCCACACATGAATGGATAAAGAGGTGGTATATGTACACGACGGAATATTACGCAGCCATCACAAAGAGTGAGATCTTGCCATCTGCAAAGGCATGGATGGAACTAGAGGGTGTTATGCTGAGTGAAACAGTCAGAGAAAGACAATTATATGATCTCACTGGTCTGTGGAATCGTAGAGACAAAACAGGTGGACAAAGGAAAAAAGAGAGAAAGACAAACCAAGAAACACTTAACTCCAGAGAACATGCTGATGGCCGCCAGCGAGGAGGGGCCTGGGGGAGCGGTTAAACAAGGGAAAGGAGAAAAATGAAACACAGGCAAAAAGAGTTAACTTCTTTTAAAGCCGACAACGTGGACTTTCGGGGTTTCCTTCCGTCTGAGCGTAAAGAACCTCACATTACGGACCCTGTACTACCCTGGGCAGCAGTCCAGCCCAGCGCTCCCTGCTCCCCACCCCCACTTCCTCCAACCGGCGCCCCCTCCCCGTCTCCCCAGAGTGATGTTCCCTCCTTCCAGAAAACAAATCTCTAAACCTAAATCAGAGTCGTGTGGGGTGTGTAAATATTCAGGGGCTTGTGGACAAAAGCGGAGCTATTTTTGGACAAAGGACGTTTGATCCAATGACAGGTACCCCCCGGCCCCCCTCCCCCCGCTTGCAGAAAGGTAATGTTCCTTCCAAGCTGGTCTGTCCTCCCAAACTTCCTCACACTTCAAAGCAAAACATGAGGCTGCACTTGGGAGGGTTGTTCCTGAAATATTTAATCAATATTTAGAAAACTCAAGACTACCAGACCCAGGATAGATGGAAGTAACAAAAAAGTCCAGGTCAGACTTCGGAATGCATACAGAAGCAGTTAGAGCTGACTGCCTCTGGGATGAACAGCAAGAGAATTTATTTTATACGTATAATTTTGCGTAGGCAGATTCTTGCCTTAAATGCACATCATGCATTCTGGCCCCCAGAGAGAAAGACAAGAAATACAAGGTGAAGAGTGACGTTCGATCGTTGATTAGGACCTTCGTCCTGGACGAGGCCTTCCAAGGCACCCGAGGATGAGGGGTATCTGGTAGGACTGCGGGCAAAGCCATGGCATGCACAGGAGTATGGGCACTGGCTTCACTGAGAGCTAGCAGGGTGGCCGCAGAAGGACAAGGCCCTGTGACGGAGCGCTCACGGCCGCCCACAGGCCTCCCAAACATGCTGACAAGAACCAGCTGCAGACCAACCAGTGGGACACTGGCGAGCTGTCTTTATTCCACTGCATTTTCTTTTTTTTAAGTTTAATTCTTTATTTTTTAAGTCGTCTCCACACCCGACGTGGGGCTGGAACTCAATGACCCTGACATCAAGAGCCCTATGCTCTCCTGACCAGGCCAGCCAGGCGCCCCTGTTCCATTTCCATTTCTGAAATTAATTGAATTGAGAGAGCAGAATTTTGAACATGTGGAATGCAGCTTGGAAGCCAGCTGACTCTAAAGCGTCTTGAGTAATTGGAGAAGCTTCTTGTGAAATAATAAAAAAGGGAAGTAGGGGAGGGCGGGGGGGTGGGGAGGGTTGGAGCTGGAAGCAGAATGACCTCTGGTTGCAGAGGACACACTGCTTAGGGTGAAGTCCAGTTCCGGGGGGGGGGGAATGCCTAAACAGCCCCCAGGGGTTACTGGAAATTTCCATAACAGTACATGAACTTCCATACTATTGCAAGCTAGGAGGCTAAAATTCAGCATAAGCTGTTCAAGGTCACAATCCATTGCTGACCATGCAGCCTTCATGGTTCAGAATTCACCCCTTCTGCAGCCAACACTACTACCTGGCCCCTTGGTGGAGATCCTGAGCGACCCCACAGACAACACCCACCGCGGGCGGCTGGGAGTGCACATGCGCAGCAGGGGTGACATGCGTGGGGGCGCAGGGGTGAAAACAGGGCACTTCTAAGTATTTTAACCAACTGCATCCTGCTGGGATTCTAACATTTCCAAGTGCAAACATGGCAAGTCAGAGCGAGGTGCCAAT